GACTACAATGCGGACCTGGGAGCAGGTGAACTCTCAGGAATGAGGAAGCCACTTACCGTCACTCAGGTCCTACAGGAGACCCTCCTGGCAGGAGAAGTCCAGGCTCGAGTTCATGGTGACATTGAAGGTGGCTGCCTGCCCAGGCTGCAGGGGAAACTGGGTGACGGTTCTTCCAGCTTCCAGCTCAGGAAGTCACCATACAGTTTCTCTGCAATGATAACAACAATAGTGATGTTGATGGTGATAGCAGAGCAGAGGCACAATGAGACTGACACCAACCCGGCTGGGAAATTCTGGCACACGCTCAAAACAAAGATGACAAGCATTCAATATGTCAGAGAGCAAAAAGCCAGGAAAAGTACTGAATCAGAAGAGGCCGTGAGGCACAAAGAGGAGGGAGAATGCGTCATGCTCGGGCACGGTACCCCCGCTTGGCCACCATCCCTCCTGGGGAGCCGTGGGACCTGCAGACAAAATGAAGGCCTGTGGCTCTGGCAAGTGAAGCTAAGTTACCCCACCATGAACATTTTCTGTATTGTGCTGCTGTGAAGGAATCAGACCCACGTTAAGCAGGGACACCGCTTCAGAGAAAGAAATCCAGAATCAGAAACACACAGCTAAGAGCAGAGCCTCAGGCAGGGCCGGCGAGGAAGCGGCCTTGGGCCTGGTGCACGTGCAGAATGGTAAATCCTCAGAACCGAGATATGTCCACAGACACCATAGGGGGATGGCCACTGCATCGGGGGCTGGTGCAGAGGCTGCGCATGGTGACCTCTGCAGAGAATGGGGCCGGGGGTCATCATCACTGAGAGCAAGGCACCCTCTGGAAGGACAGGAAGAGACACAGGGGACACCCAGTGTGGCCTGGTAAGCAGCCATCCCTCCTTCATTAACAACTGGGAGTGAGCTGTGAGACAGCCAACCAAGGCCCAGTATTCTCTGCAGCCAGCACACCTGGGAAAACTGACAACCTCCAATGGCTGCGCCACAAGGTCCCCTTCCAACTCTGCTCCAATGAGAAGCTACCAGCCCCACTGCCCTCCTGCTCACAGGGGCAAGCACAGATGCTGCACAGCCCTGATCAGTGAGGTCCAGTGTTCGGCCAGCCAGCAGAACGACACACACACAAGGATCACATGAAGGTGGGTCGGTCATGGCTCCCAGGCAGTGCACTGCAGAGACCAGCGTCCAGGTATGCAGCACCAGGAAACCTTCCCAGAGAGACTTGAGGGGAGGAGGAGAATCCAGGGATGGTTAGGAGGAGGAGGATTCTGGACTTGTGCTGTGTCCAGCACGATCTTGGTATGTGGCACAGCTTAACAGATGTCACGCTCAATACCGCCTTCACACACTGGCTTTGTGGTCTGCCTCCTGTGTAGCTGTAGCACGTGGGGACTTAAGACGTTCACATTAGCTATCTTTGGTGGGCAAAGAACCGCCCTAGCCCACAAAGATCGCTGAAGCCTTGTGTGTGTTCCTACTCTCCAGTCTGCACCGCAGCCCTGAGGTCCAAACTACCCCAGGACACTTGCTCTGGGTGCTGTACCAGCTCCAGTCAGAAGTTATGCCATTCCTCCTGCACCACGGATGGGACCGAGACCCTCCAGCGACCCAGGAAGTCTACAGACCTATTACGTGGATTTTAATGAACTCCACTATTTGCTTATTAGCCCAGTCAATCCATTCAGGAATGGAAAGGGTAAGACATGCCAGGTGACAGAGAGCCAAATGGGCCTGCTTACTGGGGCCAGTTCCAAGGCCCCAAGAACACAGGAAATGCAAGCTGACTGCCTCCATGGCCTGTGCATGAGCCACACCAGCAGCCACCCCCTTCCTAAGCACAGCCCATGTCAGACAAGTCACCAAGGCCTTGCAAAACCTCACCTCCCAACATCCTCTCCAAGCTGTTTCTAAGAGCACAGTCTGTAAACAGCAGCCACTGTGTCAGCTGCCCATTCACACAGCCATGGGTGGGCAGGAAGCAAGGGTAGGCCCTGAGCAAGTGCACCTGCAGCGGGAGGAGCACACACACTGAGACGCCTCAGGAGGGCACTCCAGCCCCACATGCTGCCAGCTCTCCTCCACCAGCACAGCCTGCTGCCTCTGTGGAGAGGGCCAGGCTGAATGTCTCTATAGTGGGGTCCCACCTGTCCTCCACAGCCCCACTCATGGGCTGTGTTCCTGTGGGCTTTGTCCCCCCCAACAAACATACACCCAACCCTTCCACACACTGATAAGTAGGATACTATATCCAAGGGACTCATTCTCCTACCAATCAATCAATGGAAGTCACCAGCTCCCAGCACTGAGACCCAGCACCTGCCTGGAGAGGTAGGCACTGTGAGGGTTAGGAGAACCTGCTTTATGACAGGGCATCTGGGCTCATCTACCAGCCCTGCCTACATGTCCTAGGTGAGCCACCAAACTTCTGTGTCTGTCAGTTTAGCAATCTGTAAGATGGGCTGTCATGCCAGGTCAACGAGGTAATGGAAGCCAAGTGCTTCAAACACAACCCGGACTAGAACAGCACTTGGCCAGTGTTAGTGATTCCTCCCGTGCCTCAAAAACCCCTCTCTCCTTGTCCTAAGGCAGCAGTCCCTCCCCAGGACCACATGAGGATGAGCTAGCCCTGCAGAGTATGGGACCCCAGCCCAGCAGTCAGCAGGCACACTCTAGCACTAGCTGCCACCAGAGTCTGCCCCTCCAGCCATGAACAGGACCTGGCACGGGGAAGCAGACAATAGTGACAACAGCGTGGACCAAGTCACGGTGTTCAGTTTATAATTAGAACAGTTGGAAACAAGTTCCGCGGGAATAAAAACCAGGATGCCACACTGAATGTACAATGTAATTTCAAACACATTAAAGTACTCAAGTAGAAAAAAATGAAAATATATCTGTACACTAATATTAGTTTGCTGTGAGTCAGGAGATCATGGGTAATTTCAAAAGGTTTTGTAATTTTTGAATTTTCTGCTATGAGCTTTTATCATGCTTTTATAAAGAAATACACACAAGGATACTTCAAGAAGTTCACAGAAAATAGAATTAAAGGCTAAGTTTATTTTGATGCCAAAAAAATTGAAATGCTTGCATATGAGGAATCTTCAAACTGTTCATGAGAAACGTACATTATGAATAAAGCATGCATGGATTTCAAAAGCGTTTGGCACCAAAATAAATTACTTTTAGTTCTGTTCTTCCATGAGCTTTAGGAAGTCCCCTTGAGCCTTCACACACACACACACACACACACACACACACACTTGTATAAACCTGCGCTAACAGCTCTCTAAGTCTAGGCCCCTGTCCCCCTAACCTGGTTTCATACAAGGAGAAGCCTGTGGGTCCAGCCTGCACATCCACTTGCAAGACCAACCACACTAAGACCTGTGGCCCACCTGAAGAGAGAGGTGGGTGCTGAGCCAATGCAGATGCCCTCATGGTGCCCCACGCTACAGCAGGGCACTAATGTTTCCTGGTGACAGTGGCAGCAAATCACAGGGACTGTTTGTCCCCAAGTCCCAGGTTCGTCTCAGCCAGCTCGAAACTTCCCTGGGGCAACAGATTAACTCTGTGGCAGCCATGCCCATTGGCAGGCAATCAGATGCCTATAAAGAGTTTGGCCAGGCTAAGGAAAAACTAGCCCGCCCACACTAATTAGGTGAGCTCTGCCTCTCTACACCACTACTGCACTCACTTGGCAAGGCAGGGACCATCTGGAGGGACCATCCAGCAGGAACAGCCCCAGGAAGCGGTGCCGGAATTGGAGTAACTGCCTAGTGAGCAGCTTCCCAACAGAGACGCTCCACCCCAAGTCATAAAAGAGCCGAATACAGCACAGAGAGTTCCATCAATTTGCCCAAAGCCAAGCAGCTGGGACGTCGTGGAACCAGGAGTCAGCGCCTGCCTGGCAATGGCCTCCCCCTACCTATCTGAGGGCCTGAACAGAGCCGGAGTGGAGTTCACAGGACCAGATGGCTCCACCAGTGACAACGCCCAGGGAAAAGATCATTAAAATGTGTGATTCTCAAACCAGGAGATGAAGAGGAAAAGCCGTCCATTTCATTCCATCAGACCAGCCTGATCCCAACATCCAACACAAGCACATCATAAGGAAAATGGCACACACATATCCGTCATGAATGTGTCACATGCCTCAACAAAATAGTACCAGACGCCATCCCAAAGCACACCCAAAGCTTAGCACACTGTGCGCAACTGACAGTTACTCCGGAAAGGCAACGGTGGCTACCCTACAAACTCAATCATTCCCGGAACAGAATACACATGGGGAAAGCCCACAAACTATCCCATAGACACAGAAAACCTAGTTCACAAAAAACTTCCATGACGTTTGCGATACGAAAACACAAATCATCACATCAGGAACGGAACGTACACCTCGACCTGACGAGGCTCTTTCATGAAAAAGCCCACAGAGCGCGAACGTCACAAACAACGCGAGGAACCCGAAACTGGCCTCCTAGACCAGGAAACAGACACGCACTTTCGCTCTCCTTCCTCTGACGTCTAGAGCAGGGCGGCTGGGCCCTCAAAAAGCAAACAGACGGGAACGCGAGGCCATTCCGGGAGGAGACCGAGCCACCTCTGCTCTCGCCCAGCTGCGCGCACCCTGGGGACCCTTCCAGACCGACTGCGACCCCACCCACGCCTTCGGGACCCAAGAACAACAGGCACGTGGGCAGCCAAGACGCCCAGCGGGAAACCACAACAGCCGCGCGTCACTCACCTCCAAGGGGGTCTGGTCTGCTGGCGGGTCAGAGGTCCGCAAAGGCCGTTGCTTCCGGAAGGGACTGAAGAGGAGAAATGCGCCTGGGAAACAGCGCGGCAGCCTCGGACACGCAGCCTCTCCTGATCCGGCCTGACCCTGCGGACGCTGACTCTCCTTCAGGCTCGGCCAGCCGCATCGAGGACGGCTCCTCTCCTCACGGCTTGCGCTGGCTCTCTGGCAGGAGTGGATGCGGCGCTGACTGCCAGCGGAGAACTGCCCAGGCGTGCAGGTGCACTTCCGGGTCACAGTGCCAGGCGCAGGCGCACTCCTCAGGGGCCATCACCGTGGCAACCCAGGACGCACCAGCACACTTCTGCATCCATCGTCCCAAGCCCCAAGGCCACTTCCAGTCCTTCCTCTCCAGGCTGTGACCAGGGACGCGGACGCTGATGGCCCAGGTTCTCTGGACCCCACCTCCCTGCCTTGTGGGAGTCCTCAATGGAGCTCCTGCCTTCTGCCTCTTGCCTCCTGCCTCCTGCCTGGATCCCACGGCGTAAGGCTTCCGGGACGGTGGAACTGTGAGGTAGCGGGTAAAGCCACCTCCACAGTGCAGGCATCCCATATGGGTGTGGTTTCGAGTACGGCTGCTTCACTTCCAATGCAGCTCTCTGCTGTGTTCTGCGAAGGCAGCAGAAGACGCCCCAAGTCCTTGTGCCTCTGCACCCATGAGGAGTTCCTGGCATGGCTCCTGGCTCCTGGCTTCCAATACTCTCAGCTCAGCTCACTGCTGCCAGTTGAACAGTGCTCCAGCAGGTGGAAGACTTTCTCTGTCTCCCTCTCTATCTCTCTTTCTCTCTCTGTCTCTCTCTCTCTCTCCCTCCCTCCCTCATTTCCCCCCTTTCTTCCCCTCTGTGTGTGACTCTCAATATCCCTGCTGCTTCACCTGCAGGACAAGTTTGGCCTCTCACGGCTATCGCCCTTCTGTTACCTGCTCTCTGGTGCTGTCTTCCACGCTTCCCCCAAGGCAGGCTGAAGAAGTAAGAGGGGAGAAGAGAAAAGAGTGCTCTTTGTTCTGTCTTTTCCCTCCTATCCACTTGATTTTCTGTCAGTTTGCTAACTAGCATCCCACGATTGCTTTGCTTGATTCCAGTTAGCCACTGTGTGCTGAGCAGAGCCAGGCTTTCCAGATAGAATCTGGAAGAACATTCCTTCTCTGGGACTGCTTACCCCAGGGTTCCTACTCCGCCATAGGCAGTGTCACAGGCTGAGTGATTGAGTTTTGTGGTGATCTGTGCCAAACAAATTATGTTGCCTTTAGAGCAGGAACCTTGGACAGTTTTCTGTGGTAGTGGTGGGGGGTGTATTTTATAAAATGACATAGATGCAAAAACTTACACTATGACAACTCAGCATGCGTACTTTTCTGGCTGATCTTGCCCTCAGAGCCCTCCCCCCTTTTTATTTTTTTATTTTTTATTTTTATTTTTTATTTTTTGACAGGTAGAGTGGACAGTGAGAGAGAGAGACAGAGAGAAAGGTCTTCCTTCTGTTGGATCACCCCCCAATGACCACTGAGGCTGGCGCACCACACTAATCCGAAGCCAGGAGCCAGGTGCTTCTGCTGGTCTCCCATGCAGGTGCAGGGCCCAAGGACTTGGGCCATACTCCACTGCACCCCTGGGTCATAGCAGAGAGCTGGACAGCAAGAGGAGCAACCGGGACAGAATCCGGCACCCCAACTGGGACTAGAACCTGGTGTGCTGGCGCCACAGGAGGAGGATTAGCCTATTGAGCTGCAGCGCTGCCCCCCCCTCTTTTAAACAACTTTGTTGAAGGCTGGCGCTGTGGCTCACTTGGCTAATCTTCCACTTGTGGCACCAGCACCCCAGGTTCTAGTCCCGGTTGGGGCGCTGGATACTAGTCCCATTTTCTCCTCTTCCAGTCCAGCTCTCTGCTTTGGCCCGGGAGGGCAGTGGATGATGGCCCAAGTGCTTGGGTACCTGCACCCGCATGGGAGAATGGGAGGAAGCACGCAGCTTCTGGCTTCAGATCGGCTTAGCGCCAGCCATCGCGGCCATTAGGGGAATGAACCAACAGAACAAAGACCTTTCTCTCTGTCTCTTTCTCACTCTCTATGACTCTACCTGTCAAGTAAAAATAAATAAATAAAAAAGACACAATATAATATGTACAGTTTCACTTTTATAAGAAAAAATTTTTGTTGAAAAACAGTATACATACCAAGAAGTACATACATGTGTACAGGTAAATGAGTTTTTCGTTCTCTGACCTCACACATAATCAACACTCAAGAACAAACATGACTGTTGCATCAAGAGCCCTTGGAATGCTTTTACATATTTAAAAAATTTTTTTTAATTTATTTTCATTTTATGTGAAAGGCAGGGAGACAGAAAATAAGAGTGAGAGTGAGAGCGAGAATAAGAATGAGAGAGAGAGAGAGAGAGAGAGAGATCTTCCATCTGCAGGGTCACTCTCCAAAATGGCTGCCACAGCCAGTATTACGGGTAAAACAGCAGTGAAGAAAGGCATCCTCAGTTCTTTGTCTCCCGTGAAAGAAGCATTTCCACATGGACACAGCAGTGAGCAAAGCGAGCTTTATTTTATTTAAGTCAGAAACCTGCTGCCACTGCAGCCAGGAGGGTTATCCAAGAGAGACAGCCCCCAGAAACTGTCCAGTCTCTTAAGTACGACTTTGGGGGTAAAAAAACAGAATAATAGCTAACAGTCAGGAGGCTGAGACAAAACGCATCAAAAGGCTGGGTTTGTAATCTTGTTTGTCCTGTCTTGCCTGCTTATGATAAAACAAAAAGGGCCTTCTTTCTGTTTTCACTGTAAACTGAAAACTCAGAGGGTGGAATCACTACTTCCTTGCTATTCTCATGGAAAAGGAGTGGGATTGGCACTTTTGTCTTGCTAAAGGCAGCTTTTGGGGGGACGGAAGCGTTTTGTGCCATCTTAAAAAGAGATTTCCCCTTCTATTGGCTGGTTTTTGTTTTTTGTTTTTTGTTTGTTTGTTTGTTTGTTTTGACAGGCAGAGTGGACAGTGAGAGAGAGACAGAGAGAAAGGTCTTCCTTTTTGCCATTGGTTCGCCCTCCAATGGCTGCCGCGGTCGGCGCACTGTGCTGATCCAAAGGCAGGAGCCAGGTGCTTCTCCTGGTCTCCCATGGGGTGCAAGACCCAAGCATTTGGGCCATCCTCCACTGCACTCCCTGGCCACAGCAGAGAGCTGGCCTGGAGGAGGGGCAACCGGGACAGAATCCGGCACCCCAACCGGGACTAGAACCCGGTGTACCGGTGCCACAAGGCGAAGGATTAGCCTATTGAGCCATGGTGCTGGCCGTCTATTGGCTGTTATTAACTCATCTGCCTCCTCCCACCAGGGCTGGGCTGGGCCAAAGCCAGGATCCAGGAATTCCCTCCAGGCTCCCTAGCCCAGGGGTCAGCAGCAGGGATCCGAAACCTGTGTCTTCACTCCAGTCCAGTACTGTGATTTTTACACCAGGGACTCTGCTCTGTGTGAGCATAAGTAAATGTTGTTTTAAGAAGGGGCAGAGGAGGGGATTCTGTTGACCTACTACGTGTCAGGTGCTAATACAGGTACCTGACATGTGTTACCCAGCTTTAGTCTTGGAGTGACTGTTGAGGTACATGGGGATCTTACTATTTTTCAGGGACTTCTCACTTTTCCAACCTGTCCAGTGAAAGAGCCGAGGGCCACGCAGTGCCAGTGGCCTCTGGGATTGGACGCTGGCAACTCCTTGCCCTGTGGTCATGATCTTTCTCCTACCTGAGAATGTCTCCCAGGCAGATGGTGAGCACTGGCCACAGGCAGTTCCCCTAGGTGGCCAGGCGTGGGCCTGAGGCTCAGCCCAGCCTTCAGAGGGGCCCATCTGAGTCCACGGGTGGTGCAGCTGGTATTTCCGGAACGTTCACAGGGCTGGGATTTGCAGTAGTCAGTAACGAGCTGCTTAGCCTTCACCTTAGCTTCTGAAAGATGTGGAAGCTTGAGATTCTATTCAAAGTCAAAGTCCAGGACTGGGCGCCCGGCGGGGACACAGAGAGGGCTCTGGCACAGCTGTCCTCTGCAAGCTTCCAGCGGAATTGAAGCAGACAAAAGATGCGTGGTTCTAACCCTCCCTGATAAACGCCACACAGGGTGCCCACAGGAGAAGGGAGGTGGACAGGGCATGTTGGATGTAACCCATGGTTTACAGGATGCTGGTTTGTAAGCTGCAGCTCCTGCCTGTGAATGCCAGGGACACTGGCTGAAAATCACAGCTGTGACCCAGACTCTCCAAAGATGGGGATGGAAAGTTGTCGGGTGTTTTTGCTGGGTGCAGTGGGGATGCTGTATGTGAGTGTATGTAGCGGGTAGGGGAGTGGACTGTACAAGCCATCTGGAGCCCGGCAAGGTTGTAGCTTTGTGGGTTTGGTACAGCAGTCCTCATTCTCCAGTAGAGGTTGGGCTACACGGTAGCAGAAATTTCCCTTGAAGTCTCATTGCAGTCTTAGTGCTTTGCTGCGATTAAGTCTGATGCCAGCCGGGCCCTTTTCCAGGCCCCTGAGCTCTCTGGGGTTGGTCCATGATCCTGGCTGCTTCACCTTCCCTGTGTCTGGCCTTACAGTTGCGGAAGGAGAAAGCAGGAGGCCCGGGCTTCCTCTGGGAGGGACCTGCATGGCTCCCACCCCTTACCCAGTGGGCAGAACTGCTCCCGTGGCCTTATATCTGGGAGGTAGGGGTGGAGAGTCATGCAGGTGTGATGCCGGCAGTGTTGATGTCATAGCTGTTCTCCCCCATCCAAAGAGGGTTCCTTGTCATCTGGGTACCAGACCCAGCAATATTCCTGAGCTGATCTACCACCTTGCCAAGACAATCTCCCAGGAGAAACCGCCCCCCCAAGCCATGGTTTCAGACCCAGCATCTCTTGCTGTCATCCATGTCCAGCCATGGGATTTTGGGTTGTGCACTTAATCTCTTGTTTGAAAACTGGTTATGTGGAGATCATACTAACGGCACCCAAGCTGACAGTGGATGTGATGCATCAGTGAGAACACACAGATGAAGTGTGGGGTTGGTTCTGAGTGTCTGTGAGCCGACCCACCCCGGGGAGGCAGGGTAAGGGTCGAGTGGTGCTGACGGGAAAGTAGAGGTGCTGTTGGCCTCTGACCTCCTGGAGCCCAGGGCAGCCCAGCCTGCTGGTTGCAGTAGCAGTGGGGACTCACCCTGGGCCTTGTCTGTGGGGCCAGGGGAAAGCGGCTGTGCCCCCATCCCGGGGCAGGGGGTGTTCCTGGGACTTCCTGGGCTCACTGTGTGTGGCATTCGGCTGCCTTGCCCTGCTGCTGATTTTGAGTGCTTTCCCTTCCTTTGGTTCATCTCCTCTGACCTATCCACTGTTGCTCCCACACGTCCTGTTTCCCTGAGGCCAGGCCAGCGTGGCCGCTGATGTCTGTGCCATTTGTCACAGGCGTGTGAAGCTGTTGAACCTCCCCGCCAACCTCCTGCCACAGAAAATGAAGAGATTGCTGGGTCAGAACATGTCGGCCAAGAGCCCCTTCATCTACTCGCCGGTCATCGCACACAACCACGGGGAAGAGCGCAACAAGAACACAGGTAGGCCCCATGGCCCCAGCTCTGTCCCCCCACCCTGCCTCCTGCTGCCCCTGGCACCTCTGGATGTCAGCACAAAGCTCCAGGCTGGCCGCGTGTGTGCCTTTCCTCCCACGGAAGCTTGTCTGGTTTGCTGCCTTTGGCAGGCAGCTGCCCGTGGAGCTGTTTTAAAGATCTATTTCATTGAAGGCATTTTCAGGAAAGTCCCAGGAACTGGAAAGAGCTGTGTTTATCGAGACTTAACACAGATGACGTCAGAGTGGCAGTGGAGACCAGCGTGATCTCACACGGTCCGTGCTGACTTCCCACCCAGCAGAGAAAGCTCTGCTCTGGGGTTGGGCCGTGTCCCTTGTGCCGTTTCCCCGTGAATGCAGGGAGAGGGGCAGCAGAACCCTGGTTCTCTTGAAGACCTCGCCTCTGCTCTTCCAGCTCCAAGCTCCCTGCCCCTTCCCAGCCTGCGGCCGTTCATGTCTCCCTGCCACCGACCCAGGGCACAGTGTGCCCCAGGCATGCCCTGTCCTGTGTCCTGGTGTCATTTGCAAGGCCTGGCCATGGCTCGAGCTCTCTCCCTCACTGCCCTAGAGACAGACCCCAGGGTCTCCTTGCATGTGGGGCGGGGATTGCCCGTCATGCTGGCTGGCCTGTGCATCCCCATGATAGATCTACAGGGACAGGGGCCTGCATTTCCTAGACAAGGAGCCTGAGCTTAGGGAAGGCTGGGCCCTGCCCAGAGGCTGACTGCCCTAGGTCCCCTCCTGGTATGGAGGCCCAAGGTTGCCAGCAGCTCTCTCGCTCTCGGTTTTTGATCCTCAGAGCTTTCTGTGCTTCCTCTTTATTTCTGTTTTTGATTCCATGCCTCCTTTTAGGGAAAAGGCACCTTCATTCCTTAGGGGCCCTGCCTCGCATACCACCCCTGCTGCCTGCCTGTCCTGACCCCCCGCCTTTCTCACCTCTGCTTCTCAGATCCAGCCACATGACTCCTTTCTGGTCCTTGAACACCATGACTTGTCCCGGTCCCATGGTTTGGTCTCTGCGTGGACCTCATCCCGCTGCTGTCGCTGCCTCACTCACAGTCACGCTGCTTGGGTCTCTGTTCAAATATCGCCTTCTCAGAGGGGGAATCTGCTGCTCCCAGCACTTTGGAGGCCACCCTGCCCTCAGCATCCCTAGCTTGCCCCTCGGTAGTGCCTTTCCTTAACTCAATTAGACATTTGCCTCTTTATGGCTTCCCTCCCGCAATGTAGCAAGAGGCTGGGAGCTCTGTGCTGCTCCCTGCCCCGTCCCCAATGCCCACAGCACAATGAAAGAGTGAATGGAGTGGACAGGGCTTGTCCAGGACCTCACTGCCAGGGGAACTGGCCTCGTTGCTCAGTCTGTGCTGTCCACAGTGCCGCATTGTCCCCAGCAGAAGGGACACTGGAGCACTGTGTAGAGCTCGTCATTGTCGTGTTTCTCCTGTAGTTCCAGCACCGGCAGGCCGTAGCTCCTAGTAGGGCCTCACCGTAAACATCACCAACAAGTTGCAGGTTGTCAGAACTCCCTGAAAACAGTGCGTCTTTGGAAGAAAAGTTGTTTGCTCAGCTACAGGGCGAGACCAAGGTGGGAGTCCTAGACAGACCTGTGCTTTCTGTCCCTGGAGATCACTTCTTCATTCAGATGCTGCTTGAGAAGAGGCTGGCTCATACTTTTGTGCCTTTAGTTGTCACATTAATTTTGGAGGAGTTGATTTTTATCTCCTTTTACAGACAGAAAAACACAGACTCAGAGAGATAGTTTCCTACAGGTTACTTAGCTGGTTAGTGGCAAAGCCAAGAGCTGGGCTCACACATCCCCAGACCAAGTGTCCCACCCCGACAGGTGTTCTCTGGTTTGCTCTAATGTGCACGCACACCTGGTGTGGGCCCCAGTTAGCTGCAGATGACGCCTGGCTCCTGAGGGCTCAGGTACAGCATCCTGGCTTCATGGTGGTGTGGCAGCCACCTGTACACCATTTGCCCTTTGCTGTCAGTGTTCAGTAAATCATGCAAGCCCAGCTCCTGGCTAGTGCAAGTGTCACAAGCACATTGACACTGGGCTGCACTGAGCTAAGCCAGAGGGGTGCAGCCTGCCCCTACCCACCCAGTTCATGCAGACCGAACAAGTGCATAGGAAGTCGAACAGAGAGATGGGATGTTGGTGGCAGAGGTGCTCCTGGGTACCTCCCCTTTGAACCTGAGCAAAGACTGTGCACTGGGGAGGCAGGGCCAGAGAGGCTCTAGAGCAGACTTGTATAGAGGGCTTAGGGGCTGGAGGCCAGGCTCCTCTTCTTGAGGCCACCTGTGTGATCCACCTGGCCCAGCACAGCAGGGGATAGGGGGCCCCTGGTTACAACATTATTAAGGATTCAAAGACAGCGACATCAGAGCCTTAAACTCAAAGCCTTGGAGCTTGGCTTGGAGTCTCTGTCCTTGTGGCTTGTGCCCAGCATCCAGCCTCATTTCTGTTCTTTGTTCTTAAGCAACTGATGAGGCTTTCTTTCGTGAATGAGGCCCAAAGACGACACCAGGTGGGAGTTCTCATCGTGGTGGGATTCTGGTGCTGCAGGTGCCTGTTCATGGAGAGGGTGGAGACAGGGGTGCACATCGCCTGCCCTGAGCCAGCCTGCCAGGGCACGGCAGGGCCCTGTCTCCTTCCCTCAGCTTAGAACTCGGCACTCAGGGATTGACAGTTTGTTTGTTTACTTTTCATTTTATTTGAAAGGGAGAGACAGAAAGCGAGGTGGGGAGGGAGACGTGGAGAGAGATCTTCCATCCACAAGTTCATTCTTCAAATGCTTACAACAGCCAGAGCTGGGTCAGTTCAAAGATGGGATCCCAGAACTCAATGATCCAGGTGGCAAGGACCTGAGTACCCCAGCTGTCACCTCCTACCTCCCAGGGTGTGTGTTAGCAGGAAGCTGGAACTGCACCTCCTGCCTCCCGGGGTGCACGTTAGCAGAAAGCTGGAACTGCACCTCCTGCACCTCGGGGTGCACGTTAGCAGGAAGCTGGAATTGGAGGTGGAGCAGGAACTGAAACCAGGCATTCTGATACAGGATGCAGGCATCCCAAGTGGTGTCTGAACCGCCACGCCACACGCCCTCCACTCTTCTCCTCTGTGATACAGTTTTTCATCATAGTAAGAAGTGCCTGCTCATATATTCAGTGGATAATGTCAAACTGTGTGGCTTTTTTCTGAAATATATATAACCAAAGACTCAGCTGAGATGCATATTATTTGTTGAATACTCATGGATAGTAGAATGTACTTTGTGTTCCATGACTTCTGATATCTTTTTGACAATTTTCTGCCTATAGTGTGAAGACTCGTGTCCCTTTTGCCTGAGATTCTAGCCTCTGTAAGTCCATCTTTAACTGGGTGCTAGAGCTGAGGCAGACCCTGAGGGCCAGTGCTGACACCACCTGCCCTCCCCCTGCACTGATTCCTGGCCTGAGTGCCTGTGTGCAGGCTTCGTCTGGGCCCTGCTCTGAGAAGAGATGATGGCAACCAAAGTCCCAGGCAAGGCCTGGAGGGGTGGAGAGATTCCTCCCTCTTGTGAAAGGACCTTGTGGTATCCCCAGATTCAGTCTGAGGTCACCGCTGCCAGGCAGGGTGGCCTGGACAGGACGTGGCAGCCTGGGGTTGCAGCCTAGCCCTGCAGCCCCCACTCCCCACCATGTGACCTTGGACAGCCGACAGGGCCAGCTGGGCTGCACATGTGCCCTCCATGCTGTGGGCACGCTGGGAGCTCATGGGGAGCATTGCACTGAGGGTCAGGTGAGAGAGTTCCTGAAGTCCCTGCAGATGATGTTTGCACTGGCACTCGTGTGCCTGGGGCTCGGTACTGGGATGCAGCAGGCAATCAGGAGCGCTTCCTCCCACAGGCAGAGGCAGACGTGGCCACGGAAGCACGTGTCTGCACAGATGATAACAGGCGCAGGGGATGAACTGAACCTGAGACAGCTGGTTTCACCGCTGCTGACTCCTGCATCCTTGCTATTTCAGGGAGAGACGGTTGAGGCAGGGGCACAGGCAGGGGATTGTCTGTTTCTGACAAAATTCACTTCTCACAGACTCAGTGATTGACTTTAGACTTACCTGTAATGGACGAAGGCCGTCAAAGTACAAATTACTCTTTTTGGCACTCTGGAAAGCACAATGATCATTTTTTTTACTATGAGAGAGAACGAATCTGTGATACCAGGCATAAGGACCTGTTTAAGGGACAATGAGTTCTTCATCTTCGGTTGGGGGTGGACTAGGGTACCAGTGTCCTGCAGGCCAAGGGAGGCTGCTAAGGGTGGAGGGGGCAGGTGAGATGAGCACAGCTGCCCTGGCTCCTTTGTGGAGAAGCCCCTGCAGCTTATCAGAGACTGATGTCAGAGAGAGGGCAGCCTGAGTCCCAAGAGCTACCGAGGGGCAGCTTGGTGGAGGGAGAAAGAGCATGGGTTCCAGAGCTGACAGCCTTGTGTTTTGAGTCTCAGCAATGATTTATCAGGGCCTAAGATGGGCAGACCGCCCCACCTGTCAGGTAGAGTTTTCCTTCTTTGTAAAATAAAACTAGAGCTGGTTCCGACCAGGTGGCAGCTGGTCCTGCACTGTGTTACTCTGTGCCATCATCTTGTGAATGGATCCAAGATGCCAGCTCCCGGTCATCATCACAGGTGTGGTGGAGCTGGTCCTGGATCCTGTGCAGGCTGCCTGGCACAAGGTGTTTGCAGAAGCTGAAGGCTCTGTGAAAGCTGAGGAATTCCGGTCAGCAAATGCTGGAAAAGCCTCTGCTTCCCCTTCTGCCACCACCTATCTGCTAGGCCCTGCCTGGAGTTCCCAGGCCTGGGCCAGAGTCCCTGCGGCACGAGATGCTGGCAGTGGTGTTCCCAGACAGGTTTGCTCACCTACTAAGAGCCCGAGTGCCTGCCTTGTGATCCCAGGGTCACTGCTGTTCCCCCGAGGTGATTACAGACAGCAGTGGGGCAGCCGTGTGGAAGGGCTTCATGCCTCATGCGGGGTCTGACTTTCCTTCTCTGCCTTCCAGTTTCCTAACTGGTGTTCCGGGTGAGAGCCAGGCGCTGCCTGCTGGCATATCTGGGACACCCGTCATGGGTACTCTGCTGGTGTCTCATTGCTTTGCAAGAAATCACCAACTTCCCAGTTTAGAGCAATACAGATTGATTTCCTCACTGTCTGTGAGATCGGGGTGTCTAGTGCAGTCCTATGCCCAGGCTGTGTCCACATCTCAGGCTCGTTCAGGGGAGGTCTGTGTCCATACCCCTCATGGTGCCCTCAGCCATTTCCCAGAGGTGGCCTCCCTCAGGTCCCTGTTCCCTGCTGGCCCCAGCCCCTCACTCAGGTCCCCTGTACCCTGCTGGCCCCAGCCCCTCCCTCAGGTCCCTGTTCACCCCTGCTGGCCCCCAGCCCCTCCCTCAGGTCCCTATTCACCCCCTGCTGGCCCCCAGCCCCTCCCTCAGGTCCCTGTTCCCTGCTGGCCCCCAGCCCCTCCCTCAGGACCCTGTTCCCTGCTGGCCCCAGCCCCTCTCTCAGTTCCCTGTTCCCTGCTGGCCCCAGCCCCTCTCTTAGTTCCCTGTGCTGCTGGCTTGAGTTCCTAGGGGCCACCCCTCCAGGAGGGGTCTGGCCCCCTTTATGGGCTCACTTGATCACATCTGTCCCATCTACAGCAATCTCCCTTTTGATGAACTCAGTCAGCTGGTTGGGGACCTCTATTAAGTCTACAGGAGCCATTCACCTGTGTCCTGTCATGTGGCTTGGACATCATGTCCACACTCAGGTCGTCTCGGGGTTGTTTTGGGGTTGCTTGGGGTCTTGGGTTTGTTTCAGAGTTCTGTCTCCCCAGCAGCTGCTGACTTACAACTGACAAGGACGTGGGCTGGGTGGAGAAGTCATGGTCTTGGGGGCACAGGTGACCCACACTCTGGGCCTCTTGCCAATGACCCCAGCCTTCTTCCTGCCTTGAGAGCCTGTGGGCCCTTGGGGTGCTGTGTGCCCTAAGGGGCCACACCAGGTCCAGCTGTAGCTTTGTGAGGTGGCCTTGGAGTGCCAGCGGGAGCGCAGCCTGCAGAGGGTGGAGGAGGCACCCTGTGTGTAGCGTCAGGACAGTGGCGATACCTTGCTTTGCGTGGTTTCAGAGAAAGCAGGGCACACCAAGCTCTGAACTTCCCACCTCACAATGAGCATGGTGGCCACCACCTTTGTGGGAAGAAAATCATCAGCAGGCTGATCTGAAACCCCATGAGAAGTTCAAAACTACCTGCTAACCCCAGGGTTCTTTTGCGTGTGTGTGTGTCTAGATGTCCAGTGGATTCAAGCGGACGTGTGTGAAGTCCAGCTGATGATGTACAACCCCATGCCATTTGAGCTCCGAGTGGAGAACATGGTATGTACCACTAGGGGCCTCTGTGACCGAGAACTCCAGTGTGTCACTAAAAAGTGTCTTTGCTTAGTGTTAGAGGCACTAATTCTTGCACACATGTCTGCTTTGCCCAAGATGGTAAGTGTTAGGGGAGTGAAGTCCGTATTTTGTCATTACCTTGTCTCATGCTTGCTGCCGAGTAGACGTCTGAGGCACAGAGCAACCCTGGGCTTGTACACGCACTGAGCTTTGCCCATTGGCTGTGAGATTGGAAGTCAGCACTTTGGAGTTCACAGGAGCTTACTGGAGATTGTTGTGCTGCTGTGAGGTGACACAGGGATCGAGGCGCAGGGGGAGCTGTAGAGAGAGGTGCTGTGTTACGGCACCATGTAGGGTGTGGAAGATTCATGCCCTGGGTCCATGCTTGCTTGGCGGACTTGTGCCGCCTTCAGACTACCATGGGATCCGTTCCCAAGGTTCTCTGTACTGCGACCAGAATCATAACCAATGTTCCATGTGAGAACCAGGCTCTTCCTGCTGGTGTCTCACTGAGGGCCATGCCCTGTGCCAGGTACAGGGTGCGTGGCACCCAGGGGATACAAGGGCCCATAGGCCTCATCCCTGGTGGGAACACAATGAGCTGTGTTGGCGATGCATGGCACCTGCCTGGGAGAGACGCCCCTGCTGACTGGGCCAGACTGCCGGGTGGAGCCACAGTTTTCTGCGAGCCAGGACTGTTGGGCAGCTCTGCTGCGTGTGGCTGCTCCCCAAGCCTGTGTTAAGCCTGCAGTCCTGAGACTGACTGAGGACCGGTGTTCCCCCAACTGTTGCACAAGGGTGCACTGGCCTCAGGACATGGTCGTGCAGACGTGCCTCTGCTGTGGCTGTCTGGCTCTTGGAATCCAAGGGGGGAATTTACCCCAAAGTAGTTAAAGTGTCGGATGATTGCTACTGTTTCTTATAAATATTTTTCATTTTTAAAAGTAGCATTTTCACCTGGTTTAAAAGTAATAAATTATGTGTTTTAATAAATCAGGAAGGGTAGAGACTTAGACAAGAGAAAAGCACCACTTGGATATAGCTGGCATACCATGGTGCTGTGTCGAAAGCTGACTCATGGAACACTTCAGACGTGCACACGCCACCCACATTTCAGGCAGGCAGCGGTGGCCACACTGCCCTGGCTGTTCTAAAAAGACAGAGAGGCCAGTGTGTCTGTTAGAGATGAAAGGCATGTGATCAGCTTCTCTGAGTGCACCCTGCCCACTGCGCCCCCTCCACACGCACACACGCAGATCACTTCACGCCTTTGCCTCACATGTGGGCGGCAGGCGTGCTCACTGCCCCCAGAGTGTCTTTGCTGCCGGTGTTTCCTGTGCACAGAGCTAGAGACAGTGTATGCGCATTCCACACATCCAGCTGTCTACACCACGCACACATCTGTGCATGCAGTTTTCATACATCCTGAACTCACACCAAGGCCCGGCATCTTGCCTTCCTGCGTTCCATGTTTGTGCCCTTCCTCCCAGCACACCCACCCACATGCCTTGTCCTGCCACAGATAAAAGAGGTTTGTTTTAAAATTTTATTTATTTATTTATTTATTTATTTATTTATTTATTTATTTATCTGAAAGTTGAGTCACAGAATCCATTTGCTGGTTCACTCCCCAGGTGTCTGCCCAAGCCAGGGCTGAACCAGGCTTGAAGACAGGAGTTCTGTCTGGATCTCCCACATGGGTGGCAGAGGCCCAAACACTTGGGCCATCTTCTGCTGTTTTCTCAGGCACATTGGCAGGCAGCTGGATCGGAAGTGGAGCAGCCAGGATGCAAACCAGCAGCAATATGGGATGCTGGTGTTGTAGGCAGCGGCTTTACCTGCTACACCCCAATGCTGGCCCTGGGTCTGAGAGTTTGAGGGCTTCCTTGACTGCATGCTGCGGAAAGCAGACCCCCCACAAACAGGGCAGGACTCTGTGTCTTGAGTTCTTTAATTTATCTCAGCAGGGTCCTGTAACTGTGACGAAATCTTGCACGTTATTCGTTAGATTTACTCCAAGGTAGTTGGAATTTTTGATGTCTTGTTCATTTTTTTAAACATTTTATTTTCCAATAGTTGACTGGTGATTGTTGACATCTTTTAGATTGTGGGAGACCAGGAAGAAGCTTCTGGATCCTGGCTTTGGCCTGGCCCAGCCCCGGCCATTGCAGCCATTAGTGGAGTAAAACAGTAGATGGAAGATCTCTCTGTCTCTGTTTCCCTCTTGCTTTCAAATAAAAAAATAAGTGTTTCAAAAAAAGATAAATAAAAATTTTTCCTTTGTGTTCATATTCCCATTTGGTACAAGAAGAAAGCAAACCAAACATCAGAAACATGGTGGAGAGGACCAAAATCAAGGACAGCGGCTGTTGATCTGACTGCCCTGTGCATCACGTGTGCATGGTCTCGCAGTTCTCTGTGGGTTCTTTTTTTTTTTTTATTTTTGACAGGCAGAGTGGACAGTGAGAGAGAGAGACAGAGAGAAAGGTCTTCCTTTGCCGTTGGTTCACCCTCCAATGGCCGCCGCGGCCGGCGCGCTTTGGCCAGCGCACCGCGCCGATCCGATGGTAGGAGCCAGGAGCCAGGTGCTTTTCCTGGTCTCCCATGGGGTGCAGGGCCCAGGCACCTGGGCCATCCTCCACTGCACTCCCTGGCCACAGCAGAGAGCTGGCCTGGAAGAGGGGCAACCGGGACAGAATCCGGCGCCCTGACCGGGACTAGAACCCGGTGTGCCGGCGCCGCTAGGCGGAGGATTAGCCTAGTGAGCTACGGCGCCGGCCTCTCTGTGGGTTCTAAGAAGCCACAGTCTTCCACTGCCTTGTTCTTGGTTGCCAGGTGTGCGGTGCAGGCTGGTTCTGCTCACGTTGCTCTGTGCCTTGCTGCAGGGGCTGCTGACCAGCGGAGTGGAATTCAAGTCGCTCCCCGCAGCACTCTCCCTTCTGGCCAAGTCTGGTCTGTACCCAGTGACGCTCGTAGGGGTCCTGCAGACGACTGGAACGATCACTGTGAACAGTAAGGGCTTTTCTGATTGCTGCTATTGAGGGCTGCCACACTGCTGTTCCATACACCAGGGTCCAGAGCCTCTCACCCATCTCATTTGTCCTCGTCCATCAAGGTATGGGGAACGACTGCCTTTCCTTGGGATGTGGTGCAAGTTGGTGGAGTGTGATTGGCACCTGCCAGGCTCCTACTGCAGTGGGCAGGGCCATTCCTGTGCTCTGTCTGCCTCCTCCTCCAGACAGCCTTCCAATGGCTTGGTTCCTACCTCTGCACCCTGACCTTTCCTGATGCCACGATGTCCCATGTGCTCTCAGGAAGCCCCTGTCATCTGCTGGATCTCTTGGGAGAGTTGGCTGTGCACGTTGAGTCCCTTATGCCACCGGTGCCATGGTCCTGCACCCCTCCGCATCCTGAGTTTATCCCTTATCCCTTCACCAGAACACGTCTGTGGCATCACTAGTGGCGTTTTTCTGCCTAAACCTGGGACGAGTTGTTTGGGATGCTTGGAGCTTTAGTGCTCATTTGCCACCCTGCATGTGTGGCGAGCTGTGTCCTCCAGCCTTGGTGACACCACAGCCTCCAGATTTTCCGCTGTCTCTTTGGCCCTTCTTCCTCAGTCTTTCTGGTCTTGTGCAGGCGTCCCGTGCAGCCCAGCCCTCTGACAGTTGCTCCTCGCTCTGTGTTTCTTGTCCTCCTCTCTGTCCTCCATAAGTCACCTGTGGTGAGTGTCCCCAGCCCACAGCATTTTTCTGCCTCACAGCCCTGCAGACTGCTGACCACCCCCAGGGTCGGGTGCCCTTCCCTGGCCTGTGCCCCAGCACTTCCCAGCTATCCCCCTGGTGTCCGGTGGGTGGGACATGCATGTTCAACATGTCCAACCCAAGTGTACTGCCTCCCCTCCCCAAAGCGGTCTCTCCTCTGAGACCCCTCTCTCTCCTCTGAAGGTGTCGTGGTCAGCCAGTGGGAGTCACTTTCCCTTGTCATCAGGCCGAGTTCCCCAGCCCTGTGTGTTCCTGTGCTCCTCTGCCGAGGCTTCCTGCTGAGTTACACATTGTTCCTCTACCTTTGCTGTATTGCGAGTGCCCTACCCTTTTCTACTTCCTCCGATATGTGCGCAGGCTTAGTGGTCCCTGAGCTGTGCATCTCTGTGCAGAGCAGTTGGCATTGTTCTTTGGTGTGTCTTGTGCACGAAGCTAGATGGGCTGACTCTGTACTGCTGGGCGCAGTAATGTGTGGACCCCAAGTCTTTGTCATCAGACTATTTTTTTTTTTTTGACAGGCAGAGTGGACAGTGAGAGAGAGAGACAGAGAGAAAGGTCTTCCTTTGCCGTTGGTTCACCCTCCAATGGCCGCCGCTGCAGCCGGCGCACCGCGCTGATCCGATGGCAGGAGCCAGGAGCCAGGTGCTTTTCCTGGTCTCCCATGGGGTGCAGGGCCCAAGCACCTGGGCCATCCTCCACTGCACTCCCTGGCCATAGCAGAGAGCTGGCCTGGAAGAGGGGCAACCGGGACAGAATCCGGCGCCCCAACCGGGACTAGAACCCGGTGTGCCGGCGCCGCAAGGTGGAGGATTAGCCTATTGAGCCACGGCGCCGGCTTGTCATCAGACTATTATGTGATAGCAATTTTCAGCAATGGTAAGGAAAGGCCTGATTCTAATTAGGGATTATAAAATAGTGGTTGCTCAGCAGGCGAAACATATATCAGGCTCCTATTGAAAGAGAAATGCGAGAGACCCTGGTTCCAGATGTGGGTTTATGGGGAGAATAGTGTTTTGACCATTACAGGGGTGTTTTGACAAGCCCACTCTCTGAAGGGGGGTGAGCTGGAGTGGTGTTGAGAGAGCAGCTTCCAGCCAGCAGGAGCCACAGGAGGACTGAGGAGGCTGCTGGGGCCCCAGGAGCCCTTGAAAGCCATGCTGGCTTCTCCATGGAGCACACCCCAGGCTCACACGAGTGTAGGCAGGTTGTCACCTGAGCCTCGAGCCATTGGGTATGGTTTCATTTTGTTGCACAGTAAATGCTGTTGATAATAATTAGCTAAATTTCAAAAGCCATTCTACAGCTTTGCTTAAATAGTTTCAAGTGCTTATCTCACCAGTGGAAAATTTGCTCATCTTAAACGGCAGTGCTCACACACACACAGCCAGTTTGCCCCGTCACGAAGCCGCTGCAATAATAATGATTGGCCCTTGAACTTTCGTCTTTCAACAGAAGGTTCTGAAGCATTTTTCAAATACTCATTAAATTGCATTATATCCCGGGAAGGAATATTAACTGCCATCCTCACTGTGGAGATGGATAAATCTGAAAAGCAAATGAGTCCTGGGCTGAGATGCTGACTATGGGTTGTGCAGAGATTGATGGCTTACAGGAGCCTCTCCATTTGGGCCCAGTCAGCCTGGTGGGATGGGAGTACAGGAGCTGTTGTAACCCCCACCACAAAGGAGGAGCCCGAGGGATGTTGAGGCTGTGGGCAGGGACTAGCAGGTGACGGAGCCAGCACCGAGACCCAGGTCTTCTGCAGGGTTGCCCTTGCTGGTTGGGGACTTCAGCAGTGGACACGAAGGTGGACATGGGGCACGGAGCTTCACTGGGAGTTGTGACGTCTTTGTTTTCCTGTGTCCCAGGTTACCACACCACCGTCTTTGGTGTTGTCAGTGACTGCCTGCTGGACCACCTCCTGGGAATAAAGACCAGCAGCTCTACCATGGAAGTTATCCCTGCTTTGCGAAGACTGCAGATCAGCACCTCCCTGCCCAGGTACCTGGTGAGCGCAGGTGTCCAGCTGCCGGCAGGAAGCAGCCCTGTGGAGCCTTCCCTCGTGAGGCGCACAGGCTCTGCATGCGTCCAGAATTTGCAGGCCCAGAATCTGCAGGAGGGGGCCTTGAGAGTCTGCAGTAGTTCATACGTTTTGCCCAGAGCAAATTAGAGCAGTCAAGATCTCCCATACTAAGGCTAGGACCAAATGTGAAATTATTCTTCCAAAAACAGTCAGGATCTTAGGGCATCTAAGAAAATCACTCTTCTGACAGAATTATTTTATTTTATTTTTTAAAGAAATATTTATTTATTTTGAAAGAGTCACAAAGAGAGGGAGAGACACACAGAGTGAGTGAGAACTCTTTCATCCTCTGGTTCACTCTCCAGATGGCCGCAACGGGGAGCATTGGGCCAGGTCGAAGCCAGGAACCATGAACTTCATTCAGGTCTCCCATGTGGGTGTGGGGATCCAAACACATGGGCTGTTTTTTGCAGGCCGTTAGCCAGGAGCTTGATTGGAGTAGAGCAGACAGAACCTGAACTGGCGCCCATATGGGATTGTTTTATTTTTGTTTTAGATTTTCAGCATCACAGGGAAGTGTAAAGGAGAAAGGGAAGTGGGTGTCAGGAGGCCTGGAGCCAGTCAACGTAAATGCTTGGAGGTGCTTCCCGCCACTTTAGAAAACACTTGTCTGAACACGGAGTCATAGATGAGTTTTTGTGAAATCACATTAATAAGCTTTTTTTTTTTGACAGGCAGAGTGGACAGTGAGAGAGAGAGAGAGACAGAGAGAAAGGTCTTCCTTTTTGCCATTGGTTCACCCTCCAATGGCTGCCGCGGCTGGCGCATCGCGCTGATCCGAAGCCAGGAGCCAGGTGCTTTTCCTGGTCTCCCATGGGGTGCAGGGCCCAAGCACTTGGGCCATCCTCCACTGCACTCCCGGGACATAGCAGAGAGCTGGCCTGGAAGAGGGGCAACCGGGACAGAATCCGGTGTCCCGACGGGGACTAGAACCTGGTGTGCCGGCGCCGCAAGGCAGAGGATTAGCCTATTGAGCCACGGCGCCAGCCAATAAGCTTTTCCTCACACTTTCACAGAGTCTTAAAAAACCCGGTTTTAGTTGCTTTAAAAAGGACACCCTGAAGATATCTCAGGATTGCATAACCACTCTTTCCTTGCTGTTGGATTTGGGGCGTTCTCATTGTTGCCCTCAGGGGTGACACTTCTTGGACATCATTTGGCTATTTTTATCAGATGTGTCTGGGATTTTCTGAAAGGTTTTAAGCTCGTTTGTGTGTCTGATGCATGTTTGTTGCCTGCTAGGCAGCGGGCCAGGTGCCAGAGCTGAAACCGTGGACCCAGCATTCTGGGGCTTGGTGCTCAAGGAGGCTGTGTTCAGTGGGAGAGATGGAGAAGGCAGAACTAGCATGGGCCCTGCCCTCAGGACCCCACTGGGGGCCATGAGGAGCTGGGAGCAGGAGTTAGCCACACGCAGTGGGCAGCTGGGAGCATTTGTCAGAGGTGGAGAAAGCATCAGGTGATTGGGGAATGCAGTGAAATGCAGGAAACATGAATTCTAAAGCAGATCCCAGACCTGACTGTGAGGGCTCAGAGCACCAGCCTTTGAAAAGAAAGCTGGTGAGAGTTTTCACGACCTTGTATTAGGCCAAAGAGGTCTTTGACATGTCACCAAAAGCAAGATCCACAAAAGAAAACACTGATAAAAAATCGGCTTCATCAAAATTAAAAACCGCTGTGCTTCCAGAAATACCATTAAGAAAATGAACCTGACAGCTCACAGGCTGGAAGGAAATATTTGTACATCATGTCTCTGGTAAGGAGCTGCTACTTAACACCCAAACTCAGTACTAAGAAAGCAAACAACTCAATTAGAAAGGTTGACAGAAGAATGGGCTAGCTCTCTCCCCATGAAAGACTTCCCAGGAGCTAACGAGCAATCTGGAAAGGTGTGTGGCATCATCAGTCTTTCTGGAGCTGGTACCATGTGAGGTTCCTGCTCACACCTGCCAGGGTGGCTGTCGTCAGAAGACAGGCGGTAGCCATGTGTGGTGCTGGAGAAGCTTGCGCCCTCGCCATGTGGGTGCCATCTCCAAGGAACCCTGTCTGTTTCTACAAATGTTGAACGTAAATTGACCATGTGACTCAGAAATTCGGTGTCTACCCAAGACAGAGGAAAGCACACAGTGACTCAGAAACTTGTATATGAATGTTCACAGCTGCATTTTTTGTAATAGTACAGAAAGCAGGCAGAACTTGGATGCCCATTGCCGGGCAAATGGCTGAACAAAATGTGGCACATTTGCACCTGGGCTGCCACTGAGCAAGACAGGCAAGCAGGGCTCCTGACATAGGAACCAAATATGGCCCATTTACACCTGGGGTGCAGCTGAGCACTAGAGACGCACTGACACATGCTCCCGACGCATGCTCCAGCAGGGGCATCGAAGGCCAGGATGGCTGCCTTTTGTCTCTTACTGAAAAAATGGTATAAGACATATTTTACAAAAGGTCCCCTATTTCTCTGAGCTAGCCATTTTGGTGTAGTGGGTAAAGCAGCTGCCTGCAACACTGGCATCCCATATGGGTGTTGGTTTGTGTCCCGGCTGCTTTACTTCTAATCCAGCTCCCTGCTATGGCCTGGGAAAGCAGCAGCAGATGACCAAAGTGCTTGGGCCCCTGCACCTGCGTGGAAGACCCAGAAGAAGCTCCTGGCTCCTGGCTTTGGTCTGGCCCAGCCCTGGCCTTTGCAACCATTTGGGAAGTGAGCCAGTGGATGGAAGTGCGCTCTCTCTCTCTCTCTCTCTCTCTCTCTCTCTCTCTAATTCTGCCTTTCAAATAAATAAATTTTTTCAAGTGACTCTTGATTAATTAAGTGTTGATTGTAACTAAGCTGCTATAAAGGTCCCTGTGACTGGTGGAATCCACTCACCAGCATCTGTGGGCGCCACCTTGTGCTCCAGGACCCTGACCTAGGCCATGACCCTTTAGAAGAGCTCCCTGTCGGGGGGATGGGGGGTTTAAGGGGCTCAGAACATGGCATAGTGGGCACAGGCCTCCCTGTAGGTTGGCCATGCAAAGGAGCAGAAGCCTGTGGGCATTGGGGGGGCCACAGATCCTGGCAGGAGGACTGAGGCTGGGCCTGTGGCCTGATGGCTTGTGTGTGGGCACAATGGGGCTGTGCCTGCCTTCCAGTCTCTTTTTTTAAAGATTTATTTTTATTTGAAAGGCAGAGTTACAGAGAGACACACACACACATGCACCCAGAGAGAGAGAGAGAGAGAGAGAGAGAGAAAGATCTCATCTGCAGGTTCACTCCCCAAATGGCCACAAAGGCCAAGTTGAAGCCAGGAACTAGGAGCTTCATTTTGATCTCTCCTATGTGGGTGGCAGGAGTTCAGATACTTGGACCATCTTCCAGTGTTTTTCCAGGTGTGTTAGCAGGGAGCTGGATTGGAAGTGGAGTAGCTGGGACTTGAACCGGCACCCATTAAGGGATACTAGTGTTGCATGCAGCGACTTAACCTGCTATGCCACAACACCAGCCCCTGCATTCCACACCTTGAGAGATGCTGCACTGGGCCAGGCACCAAGCAAGCAGCCACTGAACACGCAGTGGTCACTCTGTCCTGGGCTCGGGCAGTCACTGCCGAGATGCTTTTGTGTGCCACACAGGAGGTTCAGAATTGAGGTGCTTATCAGTCTATTCAGTACATTCTTTTTTTTTTTTTTTTTGACAGGCAGAGTGGACAGTGAGAGAGAGAGACAGGGAGAAAGGTCTTCCTTTGCCGTTGGTTCACCCTCCAATGGCCACCGTGGTGCTGCGGCCAGCGCTGATCTGAAGCCAGGAGCCAGGTGCTTCTCCTGGTCTCCCATGGGGTGCAGGGCCCAAGCACTTGGGCCATCCTCCACTGCACTCCCGGGCCACAGCAGAGAGCTGACCTGGAAGAGGGGCAACCAGGACAGAATCCGGGGCCTGACCGGGGACTAGAACCCGGTGTGCCGGCGCTGCAGGCAGAGGATTAGCCTAGTGAGCCGCAGCGCTGGCTCAGTACATTCTTAATAAGTACCTATTAGACACTAGGTGTCTGGCTAGGAGCTGATAGCATTCCTGCCTTGGGAAGGCTCTGGGGCCAGCACAGGGCTGAGGAGGACAGTGCTGCCAGTGGGAGCTGGGTCCCAGTGCCACGTCCCTAGTGTGCCTTTGCAGCAGTGCCAGCTGCAGTCTCACTCTGACACCGTTCCTCACAGCTCCGGGGCCCCTGCACTGTGGGTGCCTCCTTCTGCCCCTCTCCCCTGAAGCACAGAGGGCCTGGGCACCCTGCTGTGTGAGGCACCCAGTGATTAGTCCTGGCCGAGTTTTGTCACCTCCTGACACCTTCCCCCAGGAGCCACTGATGTGCAAGCTGCACAGGGGTCATGCAGGGAGGTTGTGCGTTGGCTTTCCTTCCCTGACCTAGGAGCGAGGAGCGCTGTTACAGATGGTACAGAGGAAGTGGCCCCGACTTGTTGTGCTGTTATTTTCTCAGGATTTGGTTTGGGGAAAAAAGTGCCTCTGATCGGAGCCTGGAGCCAAGGCACATTGTGTGCCTGGCTTACAGAACCCTACTTGTTCTCAGCATGGTTGGCTCCCAAATTTCTCATTCAAAGCCAAGATTCTCTAGCACGTATTTCTGAATGCCAAAATGTGGTCATCCTTTTACCTGATGTGAATCACTTTTTAATTTATTATTTGAAAGGCAGAGAGAGAGAGAGAGAGAGAGAGAGAAAATCGATCATCCAGAGAGAGAGAAAGAGAGAATTCATCTTCCATTTGCTGGTTCACTCCCCAAATGACTGAGGATGGACCAGGACAAAGCCAGGAACCAGGAGCTTCTTCTGGGTCTCCCACATGGGTGCAGGGGCCCAAGCACTTGGGTCGTTTTCCGCTGCTTTCCCAGGCACATTAGCAGAGAACTGGATTGGAAGTGGAGCGGCTGGGATTTGAATTGCCTGGTGCTGCAGGCAACGGCTTTACCCACTGCACCTCAGCAGCGGCCCCTGATGTGAATCATTCCTGCACAGCATTGGTTTCTTCCTTCAGTTTATTCTCCTCGCTTTTGGTTTAGATCGGCACACTCGTTGCAGCCTTCCTCTGGTGATGAGATATCTACCAATGGGTCTGTGCAGCTGTTCAACAGGGAGACTCAGCAACTCATTGTCACCTTAGAAAACATTGGCCTGGAACCCCTGGCGACACTGGACACCTCCAAACTGCTCCCCACCAAGGGTAGGTGTGGTCAGTGTATCAGACCCTGGGAAGTTTGTGTTGTTGCCTTGCACAAGTGATGTTTTACATAGCTACTGTTCAGAAAACCTCAAAGCTTCCTTTAGTTTGGTGCAGTCCTGGTTGGAGTGGAGATCACACACCACATGCTACAGGCATGATGCTGACCCCTTCGTGCCCTTGGTTCCCATTACTGGATCTGAACAGGGGTCAGATCCTCAGAAGACCGATTACTGAGTGGAAGACTGGGAGACAGGAGCAGGCCGATCCCATGGTTCCCACAGCCCAGGGCCACCTACTGATTCAGCACTTGAGAGCTGGGCCAGCACGAAGCCAGGAGCCAGGAACTCCATCCAGGATTCCCATGTGGATATCTGGGGCCCAAGCACTTGGACAAACCTCTGCTGCTTTCCCAGGCTCATTAGCAGGGAGCTGGATCAGGAGTAGAACAGCTGCAACTCGAACTGATGCCCATCTGGGATGCCGGCATTGCAGGAGGCTGCTTATCCCTCGGCACCACAGTGCCAAGCCCAAGGTGTAGCTTTTCCACCTCTCTGGGCTGCAGTTTCCTTTGCTGTTTCTGTGCCTTTGAAGTTTTCTGGAACTCAGTCCCGTGTCAGCCATCCCTTTCTTTCCTGCCTTTTATCAGGACAGTATTCATTGCAGACTTGCAGGAATCCTATCTAAACAATTGTGTGCCTGCTGTGTAGCTTCCATACTTAGCATTTTGCTGCATTTGCTTTGTAACACATCTCTCTGGCCTCCTACCTACACCCCCCAACCTCGCACCAAGTATCTTGTCTAAAGTTCCAGATTTCAGAAGCACCTGTGACTGCTTCTGAGCTCAATGTTTTTGATAAAATGCATATGCGCTGAAATGTGCAGCTCTAGCATGTTTCATCCAATGAGTTTCAACTGATGCTAGCCCATGTCATTGTGTAATCTAAGCCCTCATCAAGATATAATACAGAACATTCCCATCACCCCAGAAAGTTCCCCAGCTTTCTTCCCAGCAAGTCCCGGTGCAACCCCGGGAGCAAACACTCCTCTCTCTAGTCTGTGTACTGGGCAACCCCACTGGGGGTTTACTGCTGGTGATGCAGGGTGTGGGTGACATGCATGGCAACTGGCAGGTGGCAATTGGCAGACATGCAGCCCAGTCACCTTCTCTTCCCTGCCTTGAGTTTAATTTTCCGCTGGGTCTTGCCCACACCTGGTCGGTCTTAAAAATCTTTAAAGACATTTATTTTCAGGCTGGCAATGTGGTGTAGCTGGTTGAGCCACCACCTGTGGCACTGATAACCCATGTAGGTGCCGGTTTGTGTCCCAGCTGCTCCACTTCTGATCTAGCTCCCTTCTAGTATGCCTGGGAAAGCAATGGAAGGTGGTCCAAGTGCTTGGGTTCCTGTAGGAGACTTGGAGGAAGCTCCTGGCTTTTGGCTTCTGGCTCCGGCCTGGTCCGACTCTGACTGTTGGAGCCAATTTGGGGAGTGAACCAGCAGATGGAAGAGTTCTCTCTCTGTGTCTTTCTCTCTGTAATTCTGCTTTTCAAATAAAATAAATCTTTTTAAAAAAGAAATTTACTTTATTTTTTTTGATATGCAGAGTGGACAGTGAGAGAGAGAGAGAGAGAGAAAGGTCTTCCTTTTCCATTGGTTTACTCTCCAATGCCCGCTGCAGCTGGCGTGCTGCAGCCGGTGCACCGTGCCAACCCAAAGCCAGGAGCCAGGTGCTTCTCCTGGTCTCCCATGCGGGTGCAGGGCCCAAGCACTTGGGCCATCCTCCACTGCACTCCCGGGCCACAGCAGAGAGCTGGACTGGAAGAGGAGCAACTGAGACAGAATCCAGCGCCCCAACTGGGACTACAACCCGGTGTGCCAGCGCTGCAGGTGGAGGATTGGCCTATTGAGCTGCGGCGCCGGCCAGAAATTTACTTTCGTTTGCCTGAAAGGCAGAAAGACAGAGAGACAAAGATTATCCATAGATTGTCTAAGTCCCAAAGGGTGAAAGGCCCTTGTCTCTAGTTAGGCCTAGGATGGCTGGGGCCTGTGTTACTCTCCTCCTTTTTATGGACAGGGGAAGTAAAGGTAGAAGAGGTGACTGACTAAGGTCACACAGCAGGTGGGTGGGGAACCAGCGGGAGGACCATAGTCTCCTGATTCTCAGCTTTGGTGTAGTCACCCTTAGGAGGCAGAAGCACAATAATCATGTAACACACTGCCGGTGTAGCCATCTCAGAGCAACACAGTTGCCAGTGAAAAATTAAAGCCATCATTCTTTCTTTAGCTTCCTCCCAAGCTGCCATACATCTACATGTGGAATTAAATTAATGGAAACAAACCATCTGCTTCCAGAATATACAAAGGGAATAATTCCTGGTGCTTTTGCTGTACATGGCAAGGCTGTCAGTGGTGACAGAATCC